ATAATTGCTCCGCCCATTCCCTAGGTGTGAATAAATGAACATTACTTATTTTTAAGTCTGTATTTGTTTGAGATAAAGTTAACATGATTTTTTTCAAGTATATTTTGTGTGATCCAAAGAACATTTATTTGTTCCTACAGGACATTGCATGGCAAATGATCAATACATCGAGCAGCTCAAAGAGACATTTGCCACTAGTGTCCCAAGTCGAATCGCTGCTTTCTTTGGAGAGCCTATTCAGGTATCTATTCTGTGTTATAACAGGACATGTCATCTTTAAGTCAACGTGTTGACAATTTTGTTTTGCATGTCTAATTTGTTGTATCTACAGGATAATCCCCTGATATCAGAAAAAAAGAAAACAGTGTTTGTTAGCATGTCATTCATGTTATTCTCTTTTTTTTGTGAGGAGTACTTAAGAAGGGGACTGTGAGATGTGAATGTGTTTGATTTATATAGGGAGTTGGAGGAGCTGTGCAGTATCCTAAAAATTACCTGAAGGACGCTTACAAACTTGTCAGAGAGAAAGGAGGGGTGTGCATTGCTGATGAGGTGAGACACACATTTAATGTCAAATAGATTCTAAATGTACAGAAAGTTTTAGAGCTTTTTCTCTGGAAACTGCTGCCTGCTGATGGAAATGTGGTTGAAGAAACTGAACCAAACAGTAACATTGCAGACGTATACGTTAACAAAATTAGTTAAATACACTAAAGCGCTTTGTACAGCTGAGGGGAACAGCAGAGTCAAGTGACAATTCTCCGTGGGTTTCTTTCACATTACTGATAGTCATTAGACCCAGTCATTAGTACTTGGTGTGAACGCCCCTATGTTAACATAGAAATATTGATGATTGCCGCTTTAAGAAAAGTGAAAAACAAACTGCTCATGGGTCAACAAGTCAATAATTGAGCTTTTTTACTTATCTGAATAGCTTATCTTGCATGTTAATTTATGAGTTCACTGTCCAACAAAAATCATTTTCTTGCATCTTCAGTGATTCTGTTCAAATCCACTATTCCCGCAGTGTTGCAGATAAAGATAAGCCTACAGTTTTATCATCAGTATTATAATATTGGGAGAATTTAATTCCAGTAGTGGCCCAGTAGGTTATTTACTGATCGTGTGATCAAAGATATTTTAAATGTTATGAAAAAGAAAAAATTGAGCTGATCATTTCCAAAATTCACAACATGTTTTTGTCTAACAAAATATTGTGCTTCAATAATTAAAAAAATATATATAATGACACACATTCAAAGCCCTAAAATGCATAAACCTTCTTGCACCAACAGGTCCAGACAGGATTTGGGCGAACAGGAAGCCACTTCTGGGGTTTCCAAGGTCATGATGTCATTCCTGATATGGTTACAATGGCAAAGGGGATCGGTAATGGATTCCCAATGGGAGCTGTTGTCACAACACCAGGTGAGATATGAGAGAGAGTGCATAGAGTGTGTTGGAGGATAGGAAATAATGGTCTCACAAGACCAAAAATAAGTAGATGTAGGTGTGAGCTTTTTTATTAATGTATTTCACAGAAATTGCAGCCACATTTGCCAAGGGGGTTCACTTCAACACTTTTGGAGGAAACCCTGTGGCCTGTGCTGTTGGGTCATCAGTGCTTGATGTAAGAACTTATCTTCTCTTTGTTCATCAGAGTATATCTGTATTATTTTACTGCAGCTGCTTTTTTACTTAACAGGTTATCAAAGGTTATCATTGTTTCTTCTTAACAGGTTATCAAAGAAGACGGCACACAGCAGATCAGTCTTGATGTTGGAACCTATCTGATGACAGAACTGGCAAAACTCAGAGACAAGTATGAGATAATTGGTGATGTCCGTGGAAAAGGCCTGCAGATTGGTGTGGAAATGGTCAAAGACAAGGTATTTATTCTGTAACAGAAGTCAAACTAACCTCACATGCTTATACAATGTGTGTGTGTGTGTGTGTGTGTGTGTGTGTGTGTGTGTGTGTGTGTGTGTGTGTGTGTGTGTGTGTGTGTGTGTGTGTGTGTGTGTGTGTGTGTGTGTGTGTGTGTGTGTGTGTGTGTGTGTGTGTGTGTGTGTGCGTGCTGTTCCTCCCAGGGGCATGGTTCACCAGTGCCCCAGTTAACCATTAGCTGGAGTAGCAGTGACCATCTGCAAAGAGACAATGTTAGCTGTAGTAAATGTACTGCTCACACGTTTTTGAATCATTTTTATCTGTTGATAATAGCAGATATGTATTGAAGAGTCATTTGAAAATTAAGAAATAGGCAAGGATCAAAGTTGAATGAATATTCAAATGTTACTACAATCTCATACCACTAAATGTTTACAATTCTTAATTGTTTACAATAAAAGTACCAAACAAAAATAATCTGTATACATATTTGGTAGCCTAACACAGTGGCAGGTGAGAGTAAACCTTAAATACGGACTTAACTGCCATGTAGACCTAGCAAATGACTGCAGGTATTTCCCAGTTCTGTTCTACTCTTCTCTCCACCACACAGCTATTCACTAGATCATTTTTTATTTTATAATAAATACTTGGCCATATATTGATTTATGTAATTTTACAATTGATCTAAATTTAATTCTGAGATGCATTAAAAAAAAGTCTTAAATCAAACTTGCCTCAAGCTGTATTAATCATTGAAGCGCAATGTCCATATAGTTAGTTACCTAAATTAAATTCCTATACTTATTGTTACACATTCATCTTCATTTATTCCGGCATTTCTTCTCTGTCGCCCACAGGCCAGCAGAGACACCCTGCCTCCTGAGGCAATGAGTGAAATCTTTGAGGACATCAAGGACATGGGAATCCTGATAGGGAAAGGAGGAGTCTACGGACAGGTAACAGCACTCACCTTAAAGTAGACAGACCCTCAGTCTATTAATTTTTTCTGTGCCTACATGTGTCATAAACGCAGCTGGCATAAGATATGTTCCAGAAATGCCTGCAGTGCCTGCTCTGCCTTAGCTAAGGGACACAGAATTAAACACCTGACCTGGTGACACAATTTCCCGTTTTATAATCTCTTGTTTTGTTTCCGGTTTTTCTCACCACCTAAGATCTTCCGGATCCAACCCCCGATGTGCATCACAATGGAAGATGCCGATTTCTTTCTGGCAATATTTGACAAGGCCATTCACAACTACATGGAAAGAAGATGAAAGTGAGATAAAGGTCGGCTGGATTGCTCAATGGCAAGGACCAAACCTGGAGACCCTCTCAGGAATGGACTGAATTTAATATATTTTAAAATGTTTAAAATATGTCAGTATTAATCATTTTAACCATTTAAGTAAAACTACCTCTGTTATTGCTCTTTAATAGCAATTGTTAAATTTAACTTTTTTAACTGTTGTAATTTGAAGACTTTATTCACTTAAAATACCTCACTAGTTAGATGAGAAAAGAATCACGAACAGTGACTTTATCTGGCAAATCATGCTTTGGTGTAAAGTTGTATGATTGTAAATGAATTGTATACTAATAAAGGAAGAACCATTTGCATTATAACACATTGGTCACACCGCCCCCTGCAAGAATTCATTTGATAGGATTTCACTATCTTCCACAATATGTGGTATGGAAACTGAAAAAGGGCTGCGGTGTAAGTTTTTTAATCCTGTAATCTACTGAAATATTCTATTTGTTTGGGTTCTGGGTAAAAAAACAAGCAGGTCTCTTTGCAGTGCCCAAATGGAAACTACAGAGTTGAGTAAGTCCACAAAAAAAAAATGCTCTGTGAGAAATGTAAATGTGGTGGGTCAGGATGCAATCTTTAACTCAAAGAGCATACAACTAAACTACGTAATCTAGACCTAGACACCAACGTTGAAAACCAAAGCTTGAGTCAGGGCATCCAAAAACTAATTTCCTGGAAAAAGGAAGGGGTCTTTTTTGTCTTTTAGAGTCCTCTGATTCCTTTCTTGTCTTTTAATGAAAGTGAAAAATAGGTCCTGTATTTCCCCCTTGTCCCCTACATAATGTAATGGGTTCTTCCTTGGACCATGCTACACCTTTCCACCACATTTCAGGTGAATAGGGCAAGATTTGTTTCTGTAATCCTGCTGACAAACAGATACACTGAACCAAAAGCATCTCCTGGGCAAAATAAGTTAAGATAAAATAAAACAGATTAATATCATTTACCATGGCTCTTTTCAATTAAGTTTCCAAGCAAACCATGTCAGTGAGTGTTGTGGAAATTCTTGAAATTAACTAGTCAAAGAGTTGTCCTTCTGAGTCTTTAAAAAGAGGCACACAGCATACTGGAAAGCAATGTCTCCACAGCCGAGTGCAACCACTCAAACTGAAGAGAGAGCTTTTATACAGTTATAATGAATACATGCTTAGTCATGACCCCCATCAAAGTACAATAGACCCATGATCAGATCACTGGTCACCCACTGTCTGGTCAAAGGGCACCTTGTGACTGATAATCTTTCTGAGTGTTGAGATCTACTGTCTCTTGACATGAAAGGCTCACAGAATATTATTATTTATATGTTAAATATAACATCATAGCATTCAATTCTCTGATAATCATAATTTCCATCGGATGAGTCAGCATGCACAGTTCGAGGGATCTGAGACAGGCTTACTTAAATGGAATGCAGCCTTCAATAATGTTATTAATTTCAACCGTGCTTTTCCTGCAACATGTTTGCTGTGTAAAGGGTGTATTGCAGGAAGGAAAACAGGAGTGAGGTTAATGTCTTCTCTGGCTTCTAACAGGAAAGAACTGGCACCATCCAACATATCTTGAAATACACCCAATCAGTAAACACGGTCAGAAATACATTGACAAGGTGCTGGTGGTTATATATTTATGTATGTGGTGTTGCAGATTAACTATTGTAGTAAGGTGGGACCAGGGTACCATTGGCTGAGCACTATCCACCCATCTTTGCGACCTTCAAGAAAAAGGAAGAGTCGGCTGCTGAGTGTCACACACTGAGAGGAGAAGGACTGATGTGTTCTCTCTGAACCTGCTCAACATGTTTCAAGTCGTACATCGTCTGGCTGGCCGTCGTGCAGTTTTATCAGGACAGTCCTGCTGTTCACCTGCGTCGGCCAAACTTCACCTGGGAAGGGGTGAGTTACCATAGGGATGATGATCAATATGATATATAAAACATGATTGATCCTAGTTTGTTGCTAATGATTATATAGCCAGTTGAGGAGGAATTGTATGCAGCCACTTAAAGTATAATATCAGATGGCAATACACATTTTCTGGTAAATTATAACAGCTTGTTAATTTAAGAATTATTTAGCTAATGTATTTGTGAGAAAATATAATCTGTATTTGTCTGTGTAAAAAATAGGAGTCAGAGATAAACATTGGCTGGGGTATTATAATCCCAAAAGCAAGACTTTATATTGTGAAATAAAAATTTAAAAAAGCAATGAAAAAAATATATTTGTAAAGTACATACTGTACTTCACTCAAGTGCTATTTAATATCACAATGGAAAACAGGAAGTATAGTTATTCCTGTGTTGCACAATTTGAAGTTAATGTGGTTAAACCATCAACCAGGTTATCCTTTAAATGAAGTTACAATTGACCAGATAATTCACAATGAGGTTCAATTACATGTTTTCATCACATGTGTTTTTATCTGTAGATAATAAGTAGCCTGGGAGGAGGTCTCTGAATCACTGCCAACATCAGTGGAATCATGCTACAATATCTAGATCATATAAACATTCCCCAATATCATGGCAATGTCATGGTAAGACCATGACCAAATAATGACATCTCCTGTACCTCATTCTGAATTTGAATCAAATGCTTTTCTCAGGCGCAGTATGTCAGAAACCAGCCCACAGACATTGTCCCGCAGACCTCCCAGAGATGCCCTCATGTGACTTCAAACCAGAGGAATACAAGGTATAGTAAGAGGGTTGTGGCATCACATCACTGTGGGGCCCTGATTCTGAAATTGCTTTAGTTTAAAAATGTCAAATCGTATTGTGTCATACAAAGATGGTGTAATAAGATATGTATCGGCCATAAGAAAAAACATTAACCTTTGGATCGTGAAACAAGAAAAGTCAAGGGATAAACTAACTATAATATAATAATCAGGATTTGTTTCCTTGGGACCTTTAACATCTGTACTAAATGTTGTTGCAATTCATCCAATATTTTATTTAAACTTAAACTTAAAACACACACAACCTTAGGGGGAGAAGGTCTGCCCAAAGTAGCCTACTAAAAAAAAAGGGTCACACTCTTCTTATACTTTAACTATTTTCTTGTGATTCATTTTCATCCAGGGCATGTCCAAAGAGCGGATAATGGAGATTCGCAGGAAGAACTGCAGCCCCATGACCATGAAGATAACCTACTATAAGAAACCAGTGTTCCTCCATCAGGGATACATGCAGTGGCTGTGGGATTTTGACGGGAATCGATATCTGGATCTATTTGCTGGTGTGGCGACTGTCAGTGTGGGCCACTGCCACCCGTAAGGTCCCTTTCTATAGCACATAGACAGAATGTTGGAGTTTAATATACAGATTTCAGTCAAAAAGCACTGTTCATTGTTACACTAACTAACTTGGACATCTGTGGGTACAGGAAGGTTGCAGCAGCCCTACAGAGGCAGTTGAAAAAATTGTGGCATACTACAAACATCTATGTCAATCCTACTCTCCATGAGTACAGTGAGAAACTAGCCTCCCACTTACCGGATCCTCTCAAGGTAATATGGTGGATTTGATTTTTTACCAGATCAGCAGAGTGGAGGAGCCTGGATAAATATGTAAGCTGGTAATAAAATATTTGTTCCACTGTCCAGGTTGTATATCTGACCAACAGCGGCTCAGAAGCCAATGACCTGGCCATGTTGATGGCTCGACTTCACACAGGCAACTTTGACCTCCTCACTTTAAGGTCATTATAACAACATGAAAATAAGTAATAATGTTTTAAAACATTACTCGTGAGTATAAGCTGTTACTCTTAATCACTCAATATTTTAAAGCTTGATATCTTGAGTGAAGTTTGATTTTTTTTTTGTGTAAATCCTCCAGAGGATCATACCACGGTGGCACCCAACAGACCATGGGTCTTACCTCCAACTCATCGTACAAATACCCCATCGCCACTAGTTCAGGCTGCACAAACGTACGTATACATTGATGCATTGCAGTGTCATATGACAGCTTTTTGACTTTTCTGCTTACAATGTTATGACAGCACTCCAAGTTTGATGATGATTTCTTTGTGCTGCGTTAATGAGTGAGTGTTGCTGACTCGGTTTCTGCCCAAACAAACAGACCATGTGTCCTGATGTGTTCAGAGGTCCGTGGGGAGGAAGCCACTGCAGGGACTCTCCTGTGCAGACCACCAGACAATGTGGCTGTGCCCAAGGTACAAAAAACACATGCATTGTGTTGACATGAAACTGTTCTCCATGATAAACACATGCACCATTAGCTCAACACACTCTCTTATCTCTGTTGGTGCTCTCATGAATGGCCTAACTCAATACAGTTGTCTGTGTGACTAAGCAAATTTAAGCTCCTTCTGCAATACAACAAAATGGGAATATAAAATGATAAGAACTGCTTTGGGAACACTGCATTTTACATGTTTGTTGGTCACAAAAACATTTCTTTGTTCCCACAGGTCATTGCATGGCAAATGATCAATACATCGGACAGCTCAAAGAGACATTTGCTACGAGTGTCCCAAGTCGAATTGCTGGTTTCTTTGGAGAGCCTATTCAGGTACTCTATTCTGTTTTGTAGTATTGACCTGAAAAAGTTCGAATTTTTAATTTTAATTTTATTCGTGCCATTCATGTCCATTGTTTTCTCATGTTCAGTATGACTGTTTGTGTTAAAAAGTTTGTTTTGGTTTTCACAGGGAATGGGAGGAGCTGTGCAGTACCCTAAGAATTACTTAAAGGAGGCTTACCAACTTGTGAGAGAGAGAGGAGGGGTCTGCATTGCTGATGAGGTAGGATACACAAAGATATGTTAAATAATATGTTCATTTTAAAAATGGTCAAACTAATCTGTTTTGCACCATCAGGTCCAGACAGGATTTGGGCGAACAGGAAGCCACTTCTGGGGTTTCCAAGGTCATGACGTCCTTCCTGATATGGTTACAATGGCAAAGGGCATCGGTGATGGCTTCCCAATGGGAGCTGTTGTTACAACACCAGGTGAGATTATACTACAATAAGTCAATACAATGTGAGATTCAACTGTAAAACATAAATACGGAGGTGTAAGCTTGTTTTTTTCATGTGTTTTCCAGAAATTGCTGCTTCCTTTGCTAAGGCCTACCACTTCAACACCTTTGGAGGAGGTCCCTTGGCTTGTGCCGTTGCTTCATCAGTGCTTGATGTAATAATGAATCAGACCTGACGGGAAATAGTCAAAACTGAAGGAATCTGTCGTACAATATCTCATTAGCTGGTTTTTAAAAAACTTTTTCTGTCAGAGTCATGTACTGCTACAACAAGGCAATTGTTTTATAAGATAGGAGAAGATGTTACAAAGACATATTTTTTATTGAGAGAATAAAAAATGTCAGAGTGCTCTTGACTATTAGACTATAGCCTGGCAGACAAGAATTGTCACATCAACACCATTTCCTGGTGTGACCAGGCCTGAACTTGACAATAAGTGTCAGTGACATTAAAATAGATTAATAAATGAAGTTGGACATGATAATTATAAGATTTGTACTCAACAGACTATCAAAGAAGACGGCACACAGCAGAACAGTCATAATGTGGGCACCTATCTGATGACAGAACTGGCAAAACTAAGAGACACGTATGAGATAATCGGTGATGTGCGTGGGAAAGGCCTGCAGATTGGTGTTGAAATGGTGACAAATAAGGTATTGTAACAGAAGTGAATCTCACCTCTCTTACTGTTTTCTATCATCATCTTAGTGAACCTGTTGCATCCCACAAGTATATAAAGAAATGCCTTTTGGTAGGCTACTTTGAATTACAGTTCAAATGATTGATAGACCAAGAAGAATACTTTTTTATATTGATTAACAGATGTAGCCACATCCACTTTATTTACCTCTTCTCTATCGTCCACAGGCCAGCAGAGACCCGCTGTCTCCTGAGGCAATGAGTGAGATATTTGAGGACATCAAGGACATGGGAGTCCTGATAGGAAAAGGAGGAGTCTACGGACAGGTAACATAACTCACCTTAAAGTAGACTGCCCCTGGTCTATTTATTTTTGCAGGGTATTGAAGTAAAAAGATATGATTCTACACTGTATTTTAGTGAACATGTATTGTTTGAACGGGTTTTGATAATCACTTAGAAAAAGAATGTTATTCTCACTTTTAAATTCACTGGCTTAGAGATTCTGTGTGTCACACACCAACATCCTTCTTATCATCCCTAAAAGCCAGATGCGGTTGTTAAGTCATTAAAGACATCGTTAAATAGGTGGAGAAAAGTTTAAATGTCTGAAGTAGTTTAGGTGAAAAAAATCCCCTGGGAAAGGAATGTAGAGTAAGATAAGGTAGAGATAAACATTGACTTTTGACCTTAGGGGACTTTGGAATTTCAAGTCCTGGTGAGAACTATTGACCTCACCAGAAGCGAATCCAGCCAGTCAGGACACTTGGGGGAGGTGGTCAGCTTACACAGCTCCTCCCCAGGGGTTCTCTAATTCGCTTGGGAGAAAAGTGGGAAGGAAGAATCGACAAATCTCCGCCCCAAAGATACATATGAATACTGATGTTTTTGAGTGTAAAAATGCTTTTGGGTTTGGTGAGTTGGTTTGATCCCGATATCTGTGTCCGAATCGCATCACAAACCTGAAGTCCAATTTCTTTTTGGTTTGATGAGTTGGTTTGATCCCGACACATTTATCCGAATCGCATCACAAATCTGAAAGCCCGGAGTACTCGAGTACTCTGTATAACTTGTATACTTGTTCTATTTCCTACCAGTAAACTCAGATAATTGTTATAACTTTTGATTCCGGTGTTTTCAATTCCTTTCTTAATTTAATAGAGATCCAGCCTCATCCAACGAACGGCGCGTAGCAGAGGTGTTCTGCTCCAACAGTATCTAGAATACAAAAAACAAAACAAAACAGGATTTCAAGACTAAAGCTGATTATTAATAAACATAGGACATGGGCAAGAGGTCTTTTAAAGTCCATTCACTGTATACAACACATCTAGTGAATCCAAAAAGGGAAATCATTTGCAATCATGGCAGATTAACAAACATACATAACAAAATCATTTAAATCAATGACACTTGTTAACGACTCGGCCATTTGACCAGCCTATGCATATCCCCATCATTACCTCATGTGCCTGCAGTGACACAGAATAAAGCTCCTGATTGGTTATGCATGTTCTCCTCTAAACTCCTTCTTCTCTTCTGTTTTCTTACCATGTAAGGCTTTCCGCATCCAACCCCCCATGTGCATCACAAAGGAAGATGTTAATTTCTTCCTGGCTGTTTTTAAAAAGGCCATCCAACGATACATGGACAGAAAATGAACAGTTCAGAGGAGTGGGAACGCCAAGGATCAAACCTGGAAAACACTAGCACACAGCAGTAGACTGCATTGTTGTAAGTCTTTGTATTATACAAATGTAATTGTTAATAATCGGCTGTTGTGTCCTGATGTGGAAGACTTTTTAAAAAGGGAATTCTAACAGTCAACTATGATATGCATGTTAGAGCCTCCTCATCTTAAGAAAATGTTTTACTGCGAGGGCTCATACTTGTTCAAAACACTGAGCAAACACAACTCTTTATATGTATGTTGATCTTAATTAGTTTAGCTGTTTATATCTGTTGAATCCACTCTCAGAATGCAATAACTATCTCATATTTGATGTAGAAACAATTTGTGCTTTAATGATTTACTTAACGGTGTGTAGGGTTTGGCAGCATCTAGTGACCCTCTCATTTGTATCTATAAAGGGCTCATTCTTAGTTAATGAAAACATGACACTAACGGAAACAAAATGTGAATACAAACCATATCTGCCAATAGATCCTCCTTAAAGTTACACCTTTGAATGTGCTTTTTTTTGCCATGTTTTATCTATCACTATTAAAAAAGGCATATGAAAAGTTACAAGTGCATGTTTGGTACATCCATGGTTAATAAAGGCTTTCATGTAAAACATTTCATAGTTGTTGTATGCATAGCAATGTGCAGTATTTTATTTGTATGATGTTGGTATACCATTACAGAGATCTTAATGACAAACCAAGAGAGAATTCCCAAAACAGTTGAGGATTTCATGATATTATTACATATAATTCTGGCATTGTTCATCTGAACAGAGACGTTTATACGTTACTGGCATACCAATCATACCAATCTAAAAGAGTCTCAGTCGTTCATAAATACATAACTGTCTCACTGAACAGGGTTTTTATGTAATTTAATAAGAAACATATCCGCCCTCATTCAGCAAACCAGCCCATTAAAAGTCCACTTTTGGTTTCCAGCATGCCTGCTGAGTTCATGGCTGCAGCCGAAAAGTCTTCTTGGCCGAGGAAGGTTCCTAACTGAGGGAAGTGATCCAGATCTAAGTGGCAGCAATGATACGAGCGGGTCAAATTCCCAAAATGCTTAGAAAATACTTTCTTTTTTTATCTCCTTTAGCATTGTATACACTTTACAATCCTTGAAAAACAAGTAAAGGAGATAATGCATTCCCGCAATTGTTTGTAGCAGCAACATTTAAAGCTCTTGTATAATTAAAAAGCCTAGTGTAAGTGTAGTCTGATTCTCTTAGCACCATGGAAGTCTTTTCATAATTTCCCCTTCAAATCTTTCTCATGACGTTTTTCATGGAGGGCAAGGAAAAGTGGTGAGGAAAAGACATTGGACATCATTTTTTGCCTAGTCAACCTCTTTCAGGTTCATCCGTCCAGATGAAGTGTTATCTGTTCTTCTTCTTGTCTTTTTTGCTCTTGGTCGTTGAGCTTTGAGGGGCGTTTGAGGAGATGGCGATGGCGTGACCGCTGGTCTTCAGATGGTCGAACAACTTGTTTCTTGTGGGGAACTCGGTGTGGCAGATCACACAGTTGAGGATTACTTCCTTCTGGAAGGGGAAATGGGTCAAGAGATTTAATATTACAAGTATGGATCATTTTCTTACAGTAAATCATGTTATAAGATTGATTTTGGTAACTCAAAAGCAAAGTCAAGTTAAAAGAAATGCTGTTAAACTGCCAAGTGTGGATGCATGTTAAGGCAGATTACATGTGGAGTGATAAATTATTAAAAATACAATGATAACAAATCTAATGATTACAAATATCTGCCATAAATACTGTGTTTAACTGAACAAACCTCAGGACACGTTTCTTCTTCTTCTTCTTCTTCTGTGGTTGACTTTGCATTCTTCGGTTTGTCCTTTCCTCCCGCCTTCTTCCCTTTGGTCTTCCCAGAGCTAGGCAACATTCAGATGACAAATAAGCAAACATTTAAGAAAAGACTAGAGACATTACAGTACAAACAAAGTGTATGCTACCTACCCAACAGTAAACACAGAGTTAGTTTTATTTTCTTGGTCCCCTTTGAGCAGAATGTATATGAATAATCAGCCATTATTGCCGAAATGCTCCTGCCCCATAGCATAAAACCACCAGTAGTTCCAAAGACTACAGATTTTTTAACAAATCCGAAGAACCAGACATTGACAAGTTTCCTTAAGAATACTATAGAGATCCGTGCTGACCTCTTCACTTCTGTGGGGGTGGGATCATCCTGTTTCTGTGACTCGGTGGGGGGGGCGGGATCATCTTTTTTCTCCAGCTCTGTGGGGGCGGGATCCTCCTGTTTCTCCGCCTCTGTCGGGTTCTCTGACTTCTCGGGGGCATCTTCCTCGCAGGTTGTCGGTGTCCGTTTCTCTTCCTCTTCCTCTTCCTCTTCCTCTTCCTCCGGAGCACTCTGATATACAGGAGAACACAATTAATATAAAGAAAGCTTATTGTGAAGGTTCGATAAACCTTTAAACAAAAGAAAATCTATTATTCACCTGTACTACTTTCTGCAGTTTCTTTTTCCTCTTTTGCTTCTTGGACAGCCTGTGAAGGTGAAATAAAGATTGGATCAATTATATAAAATGCTGATGCTCTTACCACCCTGAAAAGCATGTGCAAAGTGAGTAAGTGGCTACATACCTTTGCCTTGGCTTGTCTTCCTCCTCCTCTTCCTCCTCCTCATCTTCCAGCTTATTTTCATCCTTTCCGTTCACATTCAAACCAAGTGAATCATCTTCCGCCTCCAGCTGTTGCCGTAGTAATGCCACCATCTCCCGGTGCTTTTTGGATTTTTGATGGTTCTTCATGCTGTTGAGAAGAAGATAAACAAACTATAAAATAAAATGTAAAAAGGTAATAATACAGCAGATTAAGCAAGAGTAAAGAGAATAAATGCCTTTTACAGATATATATATATATATATATATATGTTAGGGAATAATTCTTCTAGATATCTAACCTTTTGCTCTGTGACGTTTTATGATCTACTCTGACATCTGTTATCTCCTTTAAGGAAAGGCATTGGTGCCATATGTGTTGTTGTCACCAGTTTGTGACCGGTCAACTTGTCTGGCACGAATGGTAATTGTTGTGAGAACACTGAGGCACTTCTTTATCGGTGTTTGTGGACTCAAAGATGTGAAATCTTTGAGGCCATGAGTGTCGGACGCAGGTGGTTCAGTGTTCCCAGCTGTTTAGTCTACTCCTTCAGAGATGTTGATTACTCTCTGTGAACCAGTTAAAAGGTCTAGCATAGAGAGAGGTTCTTCAGAATTGACGTGGCAACTCTACCGTGAAGTCGGAACCTCTGACTCTTTGATTTGTGATGTGAATCCTCCGGCCGAATACTCTGAATAAACCCATCAGTGTTTGACATCAAAGCTCCAACTCTCACCGTGTCTCCTTCCTGAGTCGGTGACTCCATGCATTGCTACACAGAAGTTTCGTCCACAATATATATTATGATCAATTGTCCAAAGCCAAATTAAAGAATTAAACCAAACAGTGGCACACTAGGAATAAGTGGAATAAGTGTGCAAAATATTTCAATTGTATTTTCGGATCCTGAACGAGACCGCCGCCAGGGCGCGTCTCCCTGTTACCTGCAGAAGGAAGCCATGCACGCAACGCAGCCCCGCTCTCTTTAACTCCAGGCGACTTTCTGCCGCTTTCCTCCGTGGTGCAGTGCTGATAGTTTCACCACAGAGGAAAGCACTTCACAAATTGCAGTACCCATAAGGAGCTGTACAAATGCCGCAGTTTTTGCGTGGCTGTGTCTTTAGTTGAAAGCCCAGTGGCGATCTGCTCATCTCTCATCGAAATAATATGCTACACAGGGGCGAACTGGCCACCTGTGTGTTCTGGAGAATCACAGAACGGACGATCGTCCTTATCATTATGCCGTTTAAACCAATCATTTAAATTTGTTTGTTAAATTCGGCATCATGTAAGTTGCGCTGACAGGTCCACACACTGCTTCCCAGCAGCGAGGCTCCCCCCGCCCTCCCGTTGACAGTTCACAAGCGTCGAGCTCTACACCCCCCCCCCCCCGTTGATAATTCACGATCGTCGGCACGCTGATAAAATAATTGTTTTTGAATGGCACTTCATATCAAAAAGGTTGCCGACCCCTGCTTTACACCCTTAGTCTGAAGTGATCAGCATTAAATAAAGAACATGTAAAAAAAGGCTCCAAGACAGTCAATCAGTAAGAACCAAAACTATTAGTATATTCCCCTGACATGATTCTTCCGTTTAATAAACATTAAAAAAAGCATGGTGAAGTAGCATGTAGGTGCAGAGGATATCCTGTAGGTGGAATGAGTGGGGGGGGGGGGGTTACTCACGCTTTATCTGATTTGAAGGATTTGTCACAGGCTGGGCAGTAGAGACTTTCATAATAATCATCCATCGTCATCTCGTCTCCATTAGGCTGTTCTACATCTGTAAATTAATATTTTAACGTTTAAATAAAAGGCACCACACACAAACTCAAACTAAAAAGAATCTCTGGAAGAAGCTGACACCATTGGCTAGCCCGACGTAGTATAAGACGCTGCATTTGAGTTATAACATGTAAGTGCTGAAAGTATTGAGTCTCACTGACCGTCTCCCTCATCACCGTTCTTCTCCCTTGGGTCTATTTCCAACTCTTCATCCTCACTTTCTGATCCATCTCCAAACTCCTTTCCATACTGAGCCTCCATCTGCTGCAGCTCCTTCTCAAGTTCAGACATGGCCGCCCAGCTCTGCTCCTTGTAGTCCTCTGCCATTCTGGTATGGATATAAAAAAGTATAATAAGTATGATGAATAAAGAGAGAAAAATAAATGTCACAATTAAGTCACTATGCATCCACCACTTACTTGGCATGGCTAAGCTTCTGCTTCCTCCTCATCTCCTCCGCCTTCTTGACCTTCTCAGCGTTCTGCTCCTCCACCAGCTTCCTGTGGGCCAGCACACGCCGGTCACGCTTGCGGACAAAAGCCACGAGTTGTCGCACAAGCTCGTTGCGCTCTTTCCGAGACTTCTCTCTGGTCTTCTTGTTATCCTTCTCCATAGCTCTTTTCTCCCAGCGGTTGGATGCGTGCCTCGTATCATACTCCTCCTTCCAGGCAAAGTTTTTACGAGTGCAGAAGCTCTGCCAGTAGCCGTAAAACACGTGCACTACCTGTAATATGGAAATAGAGACAGATTAAACACACAAGCTGCGTAAAAGTAGGTCTTTAGTTTTGTTTTATTTAGAGAAAGTATCATGGAAAACTATTTTAGTAATTTAATTGTATAAAGAACATCTACAAATCCAACAGAGGAACACGTTTTTAGACAAAAGTGTGTTTTTTGCTTACAGTATCATAGTCACTCTCAGAGTCTCCAAAAGTAGGAAAATCCTCTTCATCATCATCATCTTCCACCTTGCTGTGCTCCATCTCCTCCTTAACAATGGAGTCAAAGAGGTTTCTGTAGACTGTGTAAAAACTCTAAGGGAAAGACAGATTGATTAGTGATTGATCGATCTTGTTTTATTTGACATTTTCCTTGCCTGAAGATGATAACAGAAATGACCTGGTTGAAGGTTTGATGTGACGTTTGTGAGTTTGGAAACAACATGAACTAACCTTCTCGTCATCTCCGAAGCCAGAGTAGCAGGTGACTGTGAAATACTGCAGGAGGTCAATGCTGTCATCTGCATAATCTCCAGTGATTCCTCCTTTCAGAAGAGCCTCTCTGTGATTGTCATACCTGCAACACAGAGGAAAACCGACGTATCAACCTAAGGCTTTTTTAACCCACACAGTTCATACATACAAAAAAGTTTTAGAGAAAGATATGACTCTTAACATCCAAGCCCAGCAAATGTCATAATGATAATTGCAAATGTTGAAATGAGTGTACAAACCAAGCTCTCTCCTGTGGATCACTTAGGACATCATAAGCTGCCTGAATCAGCTTAAAATACTCCGCCGCCTCATCAGGATTGTCCAAGTTTTTATCTACAAAATGTCATATGGAAGCAAAACACTGTTGTTATATATAGGAAGGTTTGAGAGAATAATAGCCATATAATTCACCATCATAATGTAGTGTCACTCTAAAATGGCACATAAACTCTTAGCAAACCTAAGAGTGAACCACTATTCATTTAGGATAAATGACCAATACGTCAACATTATTATTCCACTGTAATACAGATGCTTTTACATCAGATAGTGATTATAATGCTATTTAGTAGGTCCATGAGATGTTGTACTTACCTGGATGCCATTTTAATGCTAATTTACGATATGCTTTCTTCAATTCATCGTCTCCTGCGTCTCGTTTCACGCACAATATTTCATAGTGACACTTCATTGTAAGCTAATGGTTAAGACAAACTTCACTTTAGAAGAAGTGATTAGATGTCCGTTAACAGACGAAGCTAACTTTAGCATCTACCTATGCTAACTGCAGCATGCTAACATAAGAGCAGTTTTAATTGATCTGTTAAAAAATCCTTACTTCTCGGATGATAGCCAGAGTATAGTAATATTTAGCGTAACATATTACAATTATATAAATATATTATTTTTGATAGAACCGATACTTTAAGACCGGTTGTTGAAACCATAATCAATGGATATCTGTAATGAGTGGTGCCGCTAAATCTCGCGAGAGTTGCTCTTCTTCACTATAATTTCGGCAGATAAGAAGCTGTCATCGACTAGTGCTGCCCTCTAGCGTTTCAATTAGCCCATGGATGGATTATAACTGTCTAGCTGCCTGTTCTGTCCTTCAAATCCTGACAGTGGCCCTAAGGACAATATAATACATGAAATGCATGTTACATTTAAAATAATTATAAAATAAGATAATTTAATCACTTTTTCATTCCAGTTAGTCAAACATTTCTGAAAAAACCTTCTTCAGGAGCTTACTGTGTATGCTTATAATGTTGTACTTATTTCCCTATCATAAAACCATACATTATTGGTAGAACCTTTTGGTAAGAAATATTAAATGCAAAAAAGTTTATCAAATGATTTCTTGTAAATAATTTGTTTAATTTCATAATAACTGTAAAACAAATACTATATATATTTCTCTCAGCATCAGAAGCATGTTTGGTTTTGAGTTCACAGAAAGTGCAAGACTACTCAACAACACTTTTATGTCTCTGTGTATGCGATGCAAATGTGTAGACCACTTTGCTTTTAATAAGGTACAATTTTAGTTTGGCTGTGTTTTTTATAGTGTGCTCTATATGCAGTACCACCTCCTCGCCACAGGGGGGCGCTTCCTCTGCTCTGTCCGCACGTGTGTTGTTGGAGTCCGATTCTGCGCGAGATCTGTGTCGGCGTAAAAAACATGTCGGCGTTCAAGAGAAAACGTGGAGGACAGGCTCCTGGAAATAAAAAAGCAAAGAAAGCAAAATTTGTAGCAGATACAAGTGAAGCACCGAAAGAAAATGAACAGGAGAAGACACATGAAATTACAGTTCCAGCACCGGTTTCACAGGTATGTGGTTGTGGTTGTTATTAGCCACAGACGATGGTAGCTAAGCTAAGTTATTACACGGGGGTTTGTTTTATTTAAGTTATTTCTTGTAATTATTATACTTAACCACTTACAACCTGTAGCTTTATCATATACATTGTTTTTAATAAAGTTATTGTTGTTAAAACTTTAATCTATGATCAACACTCACACAACAGGGCCAAGCTAACATTGGATTTCCTGACTATTATTTAAGATTAAAAGTCCATCTGAATCAACGGGGAAATGTCTGAAACTCTACAATTATACCCGGTTTTTATTTGTTTTATATTCTAAATGAACTTCTCTTGAACAGGGCAAATGGAAAAACAAGGAAAGGGTTCTCATTTTCTCTTCAAGAGGCATCAACTACAGAACAAGACACATGATGCAGGACCTGAGGACCATGATGCCTCATTCAAAATCAGGTTGGTGCCTTTTGTCATATAAAGAATCATTCCTCCCAACCAACAAGTGCTGTCTCCACTTTATCACCCATGTTGAGATAATATGTTGTCAATTACGCTGCCATATTAATGAGGTATTTCTTTGTGTTTGTCAGATACAAAGATGGACAGAAAGGACAAGCTGTTTGTTGTTAATGAGGTGAGTGGTGCCTTACTCAAAGTTTGAACACCATGTGTTATCACATGCATTACAGCATAACTGAACATCTGCATTTCCCCAGGTGTGTGAGATCAAAAACTGCAACAAATGCATCTTCTTTGAGGCCAAGAAGAAGCAGGACCTCTACATGTGGTGAGTATTTGATCTATGTTACATTCTGAGATTAGGATTTTGTAGTGAGTGGTGTAGAACATAGCAAATTCATGTATATTCTTACCTTACAGGATTGCAAACAGCCCTCATGGACCTTCTGCAAAGTTTCTGGTTCAAAACAGTGAGTAACTTTTCTGTAGTTTATGTATATTTGTTTCGGTTTGCAACAAATGCACTACGGACAGAATGCAGAGCTACTTAAGCAAGTGAGACAATGCAGACAATGTGTTGTTAAATAATGTTCATATAGCAAAAGAACGTGCGTCTCATTTGTATTTCATTGGATGCAATACAAAAATGAACTCGGATGTATGGACCATGGGCCGCCCTGCTATCTAAATATCAATCATCAGCCATTGAAAAACCCCATATTGGACAACTACTTATTGTATATGATTGTTTCCTCCTCAGTTCACACACTGGCTGAACTCAAGATGACAGGAAACTGCCTCAAAGGATCCAGGCCGCTGCTGTCCTTCGATCCTGTAAGTAGCACTGGGCAGAGAGAGACATGTCTTCAGTTATTTAAATATCTTATCATTCATCTTTCATTCATCATTATTTAATATCTCTTCAGTGGTGTGCAACAAATACCTGTCCTTTCATCTATTCACAATGAAACATTATTTGTACTATAAACCCACTCATTTCTAATTTGATTCTGATGCATTAGGAAAAATAAAAACCTCCACTCTTTACACCAGGGGTACTCAAACTTTTTTGTTAAAGGTCCACTTGTGAATTTTATACAAGGTCACTGGTCCGGATCAATGCCAGTAAAGTCCTGAAACTGAAATTAAGAAGCAGTTTCAGCGCACTATGCATGGGGCCCCCTTGAGGGGGTTTTCCGACATGTCGTTGCAGTAAATTAAAGGGTGTTTCATGTTGTCGTTGCTGTGGACCTTCTTAAATCTACCTTCTTTGGGGGCCCCCTTCTGGTCCAAGCACTAGCCTGCCTTGCCTGTCGGCAAACGGCGCCCCTGTATACACACACACACACACACACATTCAATACATACATACAGTATGATGGCTTGAACTAGTGGGAGAAATGGCACTGTTTGTCTGTAGCCAATGCCTTGAACCATCGGCAAAAAAGGCATTCGAAGCATTAGAAAGTCAAGGTAAACATGCATTTAACTTGCGGTCTGCAATGCGTGTCACACTCGCGTATACAAGTAAATATATATGCACGTTCATTCTCACAACGCGTCAGACACAAGCAAACATACATTCATTTACATCAGAATCTGATTTTTTTATTTTATAATGGGACACAGGGTTCGGTCCGGATTGATTTGCAGTTCGGTCCGGATCCGGACCTTGGTCTTGAGTTTGAGAAGCCCTGCTTTACACTATTAGTACATCATTTCACATCAGCGATCTTAGTAATGAGGGATCTTGGGTTTTGCAGTTTATGGTACGAACTGGCTGAAGTACGCATTAATGCATGCTTCTTGCACTATTTCTATTCTATTTTATTTGTATTTACTTGCACTATTTTATCAGTTTTATTGTGTTGGACTGTTGGATGAGCCTGTGACCTAAGATTTTAATTGACATAACTTCACTGTAGCTATGTACAAATGACAATAAAAGCCTTGAATCTTGATGGATGTTGTTTGTTTTCTCCACAGAAATTTGACTCGGAGCCTCACTTTGCTGTACTGAAGGAGCTCTTCACCCAGGTATGTGTACAAGATGAGCCATTAATATACAATTGGTAATAATCTATCAAATACCTTTTGTTCAACGTTAGCCAGAGGATGGCATTGTGCAAATGTGAGAGAGCCTAACACTGTTGTTTACTGTAATGTACAACAATTAAACATTACGTTTATTTTGTGTTATCTAAATTGATATAGACAGTGTTGTAGTACAGTTTACTTTATGTAATATGACTTTGCTGTTGTCATTAATTGTATAGAGGGTGTAGTTATTTAATCCAACAATAAGCAAGCTTTCATTTGTTAGATCACTAAGAAGTTGGTATATCTGCATTTTTTTATTAAAATACCTTTTATTTGTTTTAGACCTTTTCCACCCCACGGTACCACCCTAAGAGTCAGCCCTTTGTGGACCACGTCTTTACATTCACCATTAATGACGACAGGATATGGTTCAGAAACTACCAGGTAATGTTTCACTATTCCTCACAAGGCTTTAATCATCTTTTTTTAGTTGGGTTCAGTGTTGAGACTTCATTTGAAATGTTGTAACTTTGCAATAATCTTTCTGTGCCACTTTCAGATCATGGAGGAGGACGCCGCTCTTGTGGAGATCGGCCCTCGCTTTGTTCTCAACCTCATCAAGGTCTTCCAGGGGAGCTTTGGAGGACCTACGCTCTTTGAAAACCCCAACTTCACATCTCCTAACATGGTGAGGATCCACTGTATGCTAGTTTAGATTATAAGCATGTGATGTGTATATAACTTTAGAAAAAAAATGTTCTGACTTTTTGTCACCTTCCTTTTCACACACCTCCAGCACCGGAGACAGATCCGACTAGCCGCGGCAGCCAGAGTGCGTGAGAAGCAGATGGTGAAGGAGTTGCAGAAACTGAAGCGAGCTGGAACAAAGGAGGACGTGACTATAGATGTTACAGCTGACGTCTTCCTGACACCGGCTGATGAGACGCCTGTTCTCATTCAAACAGAAGCGCCTGAGCCCAAAGTAGTGAAGAAAAGCAAACACAAAGCTTTCAAAAGGCAAAGGATGGCACGCAAATAACTGGATGGACTCGAATACGCTGAGTGAATGGCTTACTGCTATTGCAGTTAGGCTTAAAGTCCAATATGAGTTTTTTGTTAGCATACAAGAAGATTTTATGTACAACTTTTCATTTAATTATCAGTGGCAGTATTTGAGGATACTGGCCTGCACATGTTTTGTTTAATATCTGTTGGCATATTTTATATTATACTCCCTCACTCGGAAATATTGTGTAAACTGTAGCTGGCCATTTGAGTCTCAGCTTTAACTATACTGCAAACAATGTTTCCATGCCTTTTTGATAAAAGTAAATATTCCATCAGTGTAAAAAAAAAAAAACAGTTTATTGATTTTGAGTGACTAAAGTTGTTTTCTATGTCATGAAAATTAAACAATTTAAACCTACCGCCTGTGTCATCTGATATATATATACTCAAAACAAATGGTGGTCAAATGTCAGTATACACATTCAACATGGAAATGTATGTGTAGAGATTTAGAGAAATGTAAGGCCTGCATTGCCTCAGATTTAAATTGAATATCTTATTTTATTAGCCATCATCTAGCTCACTGCATGTGTCATAAAAAGGTATAATATCTAGAAAACAAACATTGTATGAACAAATGTGGCCACAATTAGACAACTTTGTTGGCTCATTAAGTTAAAGGCAATGTTTACATAGCAAGAGATATGTGACCCAAAACACCTGTGTCTCCATATTAAACAGTAACTCTATATACAATTGTTTTGTCTATGAAATGATGTACGATGGTGGTTTAACTGCACACAGGTACCTAACAAGATCAAACCGGGACATTATCTTTCCCCAGATCCAGCAGCAATGCTCCAAAATGTCTGTTGGCAATGGATGAACTGGTTGATTTTCATCAAAACCATGCTACCCTTTCTGTCCATCATTCACCATTATGCCCATTACGTCCAGCATTTATTTCCTGTGTTCCCTCCCCACCCCGGCTGTACTGCCTTCTCATTCAAAGCAGCCGGCCACCACTGAAGTTATGGTGCTTATTTAAAGGGAGATTCCACCGACTGATCAGTCCTCCGCCACCTCTTCGTCAGGACAACAGTAATATTCTACAAAGCAGATCTGTCCATCGTCGTTCCTGACCAGGTACTGCAGAGAGAGGAAGCCCCTGCTGTCTGTCCTCACAGAGACCTTACAGGACAAGGCCAGGGCTTTGGTGGAGGGCTTCAGCAGAGACATCTTGTACCTGTCACAGGGAGAACAGCACACAATGTGGAGCTTTAGTTCAAACTCATTACAGGCATATATAGATAAACTAACTCTCCTCAGTGTGTGGCTAGAGGTGGTCATTATAAGGAAAGGAAACAGTTAGTAAAATACTTTTTCTCTGTGCTAACCTGTTGGTTTGTGTCTTGGTGCATTTGAACAGCTCCATCATGTCAGAGTCCTTGGGATAATCGTAATGGGCATTTCCAGAGTTCCCAAATGTAGACAACCTGAAGGGCAGAACAAACCAATGAACACTGTAGCTGAAAGGAAGATGTGTGATTCCTTTACCTTGACAGATTTAACAATTTCATTATTAATGCAGGATGACCATTGCTCCACTCGGCCTCATGTTTGCTAAGGTGCTGAAAGTATCAAAGAGTCCTAACTGATAAACACTAAAGGTATAACACTGCATTGATATAAGTGTGTGGATATCTCCTTTATTATCATCATCAGTAGGAGTATGGATTGAAAATGCAATGTTTATTTTAAGTTTAAACCATCAAATCATCAACCAACTGTCCTTTAAACATTATACTGTAGTCGAACAAGTAGTGATGCTTCAAAATGCTATACAAGTTGTGCATGATACACACCTGAAGTATGGCTGGCTGGGGGACATGGTGATCTGCAGCACCTCACTGGTCATGTCGAGCTCGGAGAAGGCTTCCTTCAGACTCTCTGACTGCAGGATCACCTTTAAAAAGTGGCCAAAGAGTAGTTATAGGTGGTGTATCGCTCTCAATAAACATGCGGATACTGTCATATGTATCCCTTATTGGCTAGTAAAGTAAGTTAACATACATTGCAAGGAAACAGAAAAGTAGTTTATCGCTTTCATTACACACAATAGTGAAAGTCCACCTTGTTTGTGACGTTGGTGCTGCAGAACTCAAAGTCAACTGGCTCTTCTGGTTCTTGGGTGTTGATCTTGCACACTGTCACTACCCCCCCCTCCTCCAGGAACAGGGTCAGAGGGTAACCGTACCCCTTGTAACACATCCGCAGGGCTGTTGATACTCCTGCAACAACACACAGGGAGGAAATGACAATGGATATGAATCTAACTTCTTAGTAAACTGTGTTTGAACAGATTATTTACAATTTCCTTTTATTCACCTGGAGCTGTGCTTCCTCCAAAGATATTGAGGCAGTCCAGCAGAACAGTGAGGTTGACCTGAAAACCCACCGAATCTTCCTTTATCGTGTACTCCTGGAAGATTTCAGACTGGAATAAAAGAAGACTTGTCAGTTTGTGTCTAAATGTAACTCTCAATTTGCAGGATACGGGGACCCTTTTTGAGGACTATATTATATATATTAGGGTACCTCTGGTTCCTGATAACTCTGATGGATATTCTTTTAAGTATGACCATTATAATTTGGAGGAAACCAAGACTCTGCTGCACAAGGACTATTAAACACGTAAAGCGGTCACACCTGGATGAAGGCATTGGCCTGCAGACATTTGGAGTCCTCCACAGTGACCTTCAGTCCATTGGGTGTGGCGCTGAAGATGGCATGGTCTTTGAAGGTGATGGCTTTCAGTATGTTGGACAGATTGCGAGCATTGTCCAAACATGCCACTAAAACGTACTGTTCCGCATCGCCTTGCGACTGGGTTGACAGAGGCATTGTGACACTGTAATGAAGACACAAAGGACGTTTCGACTACAGCAAATGTTCAGGAGGGTACAAAACTGCACACAACTATGAAAAAAGCAGCAAGTTTAGGTATATTTTGGTGCATACTGGATACCATTTTCCTTGAGAAATCAGAGGCAAACAAATCAAAAGGTTAAACAGTACCATACATGCACGAAGCTGTCAATTAGCTGTCTGTTTTTGACTTATTTCAAGCTAGGCTATAGGATCACATTTACTAAACTACGTAAATATTTAACTGAGGTCGATTCCAGTGCCATTTATTGTACTGTTGACCATTCCCGGTGAACTAACGTTATACATGGTTTTATTATACTGTAATAATGCGTCAGAAACTTACAAAGATGTAATTCAGTATCTCATGTCGTTGTTTTGAAGAAAGGCGCCCTGCTATGTATCAACTTCCGCTTGTCTCTTCTTCACCGGAAGTCGGTTCTGCGCATGTGTGGATAATAGACTTCCAGAGACTTCGCAGCCGAGACCAAAATACAGGAGAAATATCCTGTCTTCAGCGGCAATACGTGACAATAGTGGTGTTTCGTAGTCCACAGAGGTGAGAATTAATACTCAGCTAAGGTTATATAGCTTAAAACATACTGTTAAGTCTGTAAGAGGTATACTACCTCATGTCAGATGTCAGGAAGCTAGCATTAGCTGCTAACAGTCCATGATGACGGTGTTTGCTGATCAGTAACGATACGTTAAAAAACTATTAAATGTCATCTGGAAGTGACTCAACCATGGATGTATTAAGACAACCCTCATCATGACAATTTGGAGTGCAAAGGAGAGATGAAAACAGCCACTATTATGCTTCTATGGACTATTTGAACAAAAATGAGTCTCTTTAACGGGACTTTTTTTTTTTTTACTGACAGGTCGCCGGTTTACAAACCTCACTGCTTTGAGAACTAGTAGAGAAATGCACAATACAAGTTGTTATTAGATGATATGGAGAATAATCTTAAGGGGTTACATTTGGCATCTTGACACTTTAATTCTGCTTGTTTAGTCACCCTTAGGTTGCCTACAGCTCATTACAGCAGCTCTTAGATACATCACTGCACTATGAATAACAAGTGAAGATATACATTTTGAAGTTGGACAAAACCAGGGATGGGTGCAATTATGTTAAAATGTAGTCAGTCACTGAATACAAAATACATGACATTTTTCAACATTATCCATTCAATTGCAAAAAAAAAATGGGAACAAATCTATACTTCAAATATTGAAAATATACAATGTTTCAGTCAGGCAGCTCCAAGAAGCCACCTAGCATCACCTAGCATCACATAGCATCACCCGTAACAAATGACTGAGATAAAGGCACAGTATTAATATGTTTTTTCTTGATGTTGTTATTTATATTTAATAGTATATTTGACCCTTCTTTAACTCTGTCTTCTCCCTGCTTTAGGTTCTTTATTGTGGGAGTCCTGTCAAAGCAGCAGTCATGGTGTGCATCCCCTGTATTGTGATTCCTGTCCTATTGTGGGTCTACAAGAGGTTCCTGGAGCCTTACATCTACCCTTTCATTTCACCCATAATTAACAAATTCTGGCCCAAAAAAGCAGTCCAAGAGACGGCTGCTACTGACCAACAAGTTACCAACAACAGTAATGGGACTCAAAAGGTAAGTTATTTGTAAATTAATGATTTTATTATGATATTTTATCAATAAAAACCTTTTTCCTTTTATTTATTAAGTTATTTGTGAATGGCTGTAGGTATCAACAGTGTACAATGAATATAAGTAGAATGCAGTAGATGTATTATCTATTTATTGCATTTATTTGTTAATGCCCTGTTCATGTGCAGGGGATTTCAGATAATTGCTTTAAAATCTGTCAAAAAAATCTATTTCTAAAACTGCCTAACAAGAACCACTTAAATACAGCTCATCCAGACACTTTGAGTCTATTTCTTCACATTTATTATCACATTTTAAAGTGATTGAATTTCAGGTTAAGTTGGTTTTTAGTTTGCCTAACCATGACTGATACTGTTGTTGGTGTTTAGAGTCTCTTTTATGATTGAAGGTTGTGGATAACATCATGTTAATGTTTTGCTTCTCATGTTTTTCAGCCTGAAAGCAACGGTGAAGCCACTGCCAACGGATCCTTAATAGCAGCAGATAAGAAGACAGATTAACAGCCCTTAATGTTTATAATGCTTCTGAAACAATGTAAATATGCCAGTAATATAAGATAGAGAAACTATACATTTATTTATCATACTTTTTTCAATAATTGGTTTTAACCTTCCATATTGTCCAGATCTTGTATCTATTTTATTCCATTTGTATAACAGTAACTTTAAGAGATTGGTTATAATTGATATTCTTTCCTTGTTAATCATTAATTGATTTTTTTATAAATGTACTGTGTTGATTCTTCACTCTCTATGGAAACATTTTTCTAAGTGGATCTTGTAGTTTAATGAATAAATAAAAGAAAACCTTCAGGTAAAAGAAGATGCTCATTTATTGATCCTATACCAAGATGAACCTGAAGCGTCCTCACTTCATATTTTAATGTCAATAAGGGTTTGATTTTGTTTGTATTTTAAACTATATAAAATTATAATATTTGTGTATATATATATATATAGTTTAAAATGTATCACTGCAATAAGTCTTTAATCACATATTTGAAAGAAAAAATATGAAAGCAGTTTGATCACATGAGACATAAACTGTAAGATGTCAGATAAAACTAAGAAAATAAATGAATACATACACACCTGCATACATCACACATACATACATCCTGTGTTTGTAATATTTTTTCTCAACTTTTGTTGAGGCAAACTGAGCGAGGGGAAAAAAGGACATTATTTTAAAAATATGATTATTTTTTGAACCCATACCAGTTTGCTGACATTTATCATCTAACATGTGCATGGATCTTCATATTGATTATATTCAGCCATTATACATATGATACTAGCCTGTGTTAAGCGTTCTTATTATACATCCATGGTGTTAAGTGTACACTTCAGAAGGGGTTAGAAAATATACATAGAAAATCTAAGTTTAGATCAGGCAGATCTGTTTGCCCTATTTCTATCTGCTACGTCACCGACGTAATAACATGTCGTCTTTACGCAAGGGGTGACGACGTGGAAAACATGGTGGAAAGGAGTATGTAGAGTAAACTTAATTGTCGCAATTTAGCTACAGTTTCAAGTATTTGCGCACTGAAATTACACTTGACTATCAAAATTGGACAAAGCTCTTCATTTGGGGAAACAACCGTCGCCTTTTAACGGTCCTGGGAGTAGAGAGAGCCGCGGTAACTACGAGAAGCATTTCTGACAGGTAAGCGGTCAGCTGATGGAAAACAAGCCATGAATGTTAGCTATTCTCTGGACACGGAGTAATAAAACGCCAATAGTTAACAGGACATGCTCGTGAATCAGTAACTTATCAAGCTATGGGTTTATCGGATGTGTGACTGTCACTACACCGTGTTGAGAGTCACATTTGCCAAGACTTTTTCTTGCACTGGAAACAGGATGAGCTAGCTAACGTCATGCAAGTTGCTTAACTCAAGGAGCAGATGCAACTGGAGATGCTTGAGATATCACACTACATTTGGAAACTCGCTGGTGATCTGGCAAAGTCTCCATTTTCTGTTAGCTAGCACTAGACAACAAGGAGTTCATAAGCAAATAGCATGTTTAGCTCAGCACAGCTCAGATCTCAAGATGCAAGGCTTTATTGTCATGTGCACACTACAGTAGCTACAGTGTAGATGTGGCAATGAAAACCTTAAGATCTTAAGATCTGTGCCTGTTATATGACTATTACTAGGTACAAATGTACCTTCTCTTTGGTTTACCACAATTGTGTTCTTATAATGTTATCAATTGACTGGGCAAATGTTCTCTCGCTGGCTACACCTGTGTGCTAAAGGTGTGTCATCACATACAACACATGTCCTGGTTCCTATGTTGCATCCTGTATTGAACCTGACCTCTCTTTTAAATGAATGTACTTAATGTATGAATGTGAGGACAGCTGATTTTGCTTTCTTGATTTTACATAGATGGATAATGGGTTGTTTGAATATGAGGGCAGGCTCAACATTAAGTATTAGTCTAACATCCTGTGCAGTGGCTTAGACATACATAATTCGTCTGTAGTAAAGTTGTTCATTATTTTTGATGGCATCAATAGCTAAAGTATTTTCTCTACCCCAGGATTTGGCATATGCCTGGTGAAGAAGCAAAAAGAGTGGTGAGTCTGGCTGAGTGGAGCCAGTAGAGAGCGATGGGAGCCAACACCAGCCAGGTCAGTGACCTGTCCGACAACCCTAGCCTCAGGACCCTGGTGGGCACCGAGTCCATATCAGAGAACGATCCTTTCTGGAACCAGCTCATCTCCTTCACCTTCATCAGTCCCACCAGCAGGTAAACAAACACACACACACACAACCAGAAATGTATTTTTCAGGAATGTATCAAATACTGAACATTTCCTGGTTGCAGCTTCATGTTACCTTTCTTTTGTTTGTTTGGTGTCATCATGTTGCACTGTTGGAGGAGCCTGTGACTTAAGTTTTCCCTTGCCATATCTACACTGTAGCTACTGTGCATATGACAATAAAGCCTTGAATCTTGAATCGTGTAAGGTGAATACTTTAGGCAAATAATAGCTATGATAAGGTCCACTTACTAGCTTTTTCCATGGTTTTCAGTCGCATCTCATCATGATTATGACATTAAATATGGGTTAAACTCCTATTTTCAGTGTCAATAACTTAGTTCTTTTGGTGTTTTTCACTGCTTAGTTGTACATTATTTACATTTCTTCCTTTGGTTCATTTGATCACAAGGTCATCCTGTCAAAAGCACAATGGACTCAATCATCAGACACAGAATAATCAGCATTTTCAAATAACTTAACTAATATTATTATTATTTTAACTGAAACAAATATATTGATAGTGAGAATAATTGTTAGTTGCAGCCCCTAGATGAAATTGGGCAACAGACACAAAACAAGAGGCAGGCCAGGACAGGAAACACATTGGAGGTCAAATGGAATTGTACAGATGGTATCTCTCTAAGATGGTTATCGTGGTATAAAAATATCTTACAGTTACAACTCTAATCAAGAGTTACAGTGTACTACATCAACAGTAGTTGGCACAGAACCAACCTAATAAGAAAGTATTTTAACTTTTACAGCCAGGATCAAACATTAAACTGCAGGCAGGATGTTTACAGAGCTCACCTCGGTAATGATTCATCAGGGTTATTGTCCCGCTTGGCTGAGAATAAAACATTTGTTTTCTTTGGAAATAGTGTTGAGAGGTAAAGACACTCTTTTTCTCTTTTGCAATTGTTTTTTGCCTGATTTTAAATATTGATCTATTCCATTTTCTACTTTTTTCGTTTCAC